GCGATGGCCAAGAAGTGTGTGTACCTATCGAAGCCCCAAACCGACGCTGAATCCCAATGCACAAGAGATACTTATTGATATGGGTTTCCGCTTGCCATTGACTTTCATATACGTGAGGTAAAATGCGAGGGCCCCTCGCTTTTTTTCTTTTCCTCCCGCCCTATACTACATCTCTCTCGTGTATTTCCGGGATCGGCGGTGTATCAATTTTTAACGGGACCGAACGGCAGATTTATCGCTACTTATATTCCAGCACTGCAGTACTTTCCTTAAAGTAAAAAAGTGCCTTTGAACTGGGAAATCCTTTTTTTTTTATTTCATTCGTATTAAGATACTCCACTCATGTATACACATATACGAAGCTCGACGAAAAAAGTACCCAAAGTTGTATTGTGTCTGACGTAATTAACAAACTCATCATTTAAGTGATTTATTTCCTCAAAAAATCGCGTATTCAGCAATGAGCCGTAGAAGTTATGAAACATCTCTTTTTTTTCAATGCAAAAGCACAGTTTTGTACTTTGTTCGACCAAAAATAGGCGAGAAAAAAAATATTTCTAATCGTTACTTTATTTCTAATACAAACCAAATCTTTATCTTACATCATAAGGATGAATATGACCAGCATGAATCTTAAACGCTCGCTGCTTTGGCGTGACAAAGCATTTATTCAAATGGTCCCAAGTCAGACTTTTCCGCCACGTTAGTGCTCGCACTATGTCATGCATCCACAAGGCAATGACAAGCCACTCTTTTTGTGTACACCATCCACGGAAGTGGAATCGTTTGTTGTGGCACTATACTACCCAGCGGGTGGTATCGCAATAGCTTTGAGATAAGCCGTGTAAGCCGAGCATGTCACGCCACATTTATCCTTCATTGTTGAAGCTTACCAAGGGATGAACGTTTTGTCGATCCCGATGATGATTTGTAGCCTTCGGGATGTATGTTCAGCTGCTATGTGTTTTTTCGTGATTCAAAACACTCGTATTCAGAGCTTCACGGTATTTATTTCAAAATTCAGGCAAATGTTGTATTGCTTTTGGAAAACATCGAAAATAAATGTTGCCATCCATTACATTGTTTTGTCATATCATTGTCTTGAATTTTTTTCAAAGTTTTTCCTAATTTTCTTAAAATGGAGAAAAATGTCTAAAGCTTGATTTCTCAATTGGCTCTTGTAGACACATTTTTCTCGAAATATTCTTTACTAATGACCGACAGTTAAGCTTCTCTGATAAGTCAATCAGTGCCAGCATCAGTTTTATTTAACATGTGTTTGATCCGAAAGCTTATGAGCTCCATAATTTACGAATTTGATCCACAACGTGTGCACACTTTCAATTGTGCGAATGGAGAAAGAGTCGAAACGGATGAAGAATAAAGGGTACTTGGAGTATTTACAATTTTGTATGCTTTAAGTGGATTGAACTAACCCATTTTGTTTTGTAGTGTAAGGACTGATCAATATTACTGCTTATCTTTGAGTTTTTTTTTAAAATCCACTTCGAGGGTGCCAATGCTCGGGCTCTCGAGATCTGTGTGAAACGTAAACAACACGAAAGTACATTGCAAAATGATCAATCAGAGACGTTTCGTTGGCAAAAAACGTCACCAACAATAATTAAGAAGTCGATTGAAACCCCATCACGAAACCATGATCATCCGTATGAATGATTAAAAGATCAGACGAGGAGCTGCAAAGGCCACGGAGAAAATCCTCGTTAGCGTTGGAGCAAAAGCCAGAGTCTGGGGCGCGTTACGTACGCCGAGACAATTAACCGGAGCACTTATTCGCAATTTTCGCCGTAAAAACAGAAACTGTCGGGAAGAGGGGCAAGCTCGAGCCCAACCCGCGGGTGATCTGCATAATCCGAGTTTCCTCCCCCTCGCCGGTAGTATTAACGAAGCGACGCTCCCACGGAGGGGTCGTTTGTGCAATTCACCTCTCAGTCGCCCGATTATCTCCGGCTTGTTAAAGCTCGCGTCCCAAAGACCAGCAATGAGAAGGACGGAAAAAGGGAGGGAGGGAGGATCGGATGATTTGCACAAGCCGGCTGGAACGCATTTAGATACGGGCGCCCCGAGAAAGCGAGAGGGAAAAAAGTTTGACACGCGTCGCGTGCTCGCTCACTCGCTTTGACGAGGTGTGAGGCCGTGGAAATGGAAGCAAGTAGGACTATCGAGCCGTTTTTTTTTCCCGTGCGCACCTTCGCTGCTGGACTCCCGTTTATCTCGGAAGCCGCAGAGTCATCGCTCGATGACGAGCTCGAATTTTCCGTTCTGTTAGGCTTTCTTTTTTTCTTTTCTTTTTTTCTCACCAGCAGTGGCACGACAAAATGATAAGCCGCTGTGATGAGCACGTACAATGTTTGCGGTGTATTGATTTCCCTAATGCCCGTAATAAATCTCCTTCGTTCACGACAGGTTTTGCTTGTTGTTTTGTTGGATGAACGTACGTTATGGTATATTATAGTTGAATCACTCGTGTTGCTTACGTTTTACAGGAGTCCGTCTATCTTTCTTTTTTTCCCTCTTTTTGTTAAATGGATAAACAATAAACTTATGTTTATGGGTAATCAAACTGTTTTGTTTATTACTGTCTTTTAATAAGCAAAGGTGTATCAGGATCATAATCATAGGCCACGATTGTGACAATTTTTTTTATCAAACAGCTCATCCAATAATCTCACACTCTTATCTGTTCTGGCGAGCGACTCTTTGATTGTCATGATGGTAATAAGTTTTTTGCTCAATAATATACGACTTCAGAAGACAGACTCGTACCCGTACGGAGAAAAAACTATGTAAATGTAAAAACTGTTAAAAATTGTATGCTCAAAAATTAAATCGGAAAACGATCTAATAAGATATTGTGATACTAAATGTTCGTTATCATGATTTTTATAAATAGGGAACTGGCAATTGTAATTCAGAGTCAAAACATTGTAATAATTTTAGTAAAAGTGTATCATCTTTACCGAAGGGTTACTTAAGGCATTTGTGACTGCAAATCTGTTTTTTTATTGGATGATACTGATTTTATTCTGCTATAAATATAGGGAGTTTGAATGATAATTAAACTGCAAGTATCTCCTTCTGTAAGATTGTTACGCTTGTATAATGATATGTCATATCGTAAAAAAACTGAATTTTTACTGATATTTAAGACTATGCAAAAATATAAGAAAAGAAGTAATTCAACAAATAAATGAGTATCTTAAATTATGGATAATATTAATATTTACTAATATTATTTTGTCTTTGCAGTCATCTTGGAAACTATAATGCATGGATACGCATATCACAAAACTATATCTCTAAAATGCCTAATACAAGCTTTTTTTTTTAAAAAAAAAAAAAAGACTTTCTCAAAAGCACGTAAGTATGAAAAGCTAGTACGATGACGATAAAATAAGGTCAAGCACTTAGAAAATTCATAAGCTTTTGAAAGTGCAGCTCTTAGCATGCGCACAAGAGAGGAAAGGCTTGCGTATACGTGCAAGTACGTGAGTGAGCTGCAAACAAGAACCCGCGTACCTTTGGAAAACTATGACTTGGCAGTTCGCGAGAAATGAAACTAGATAGCCAAGGACGAAAGCGAAGACACTTCAGTGCATTTGCTGCTGAACAAACAATTTGCCTTTATAAATGAGCTGAGTTTCGAACGAGTTTTGGCTCTCGGCATTTAATATCATCAAGCTCGCTTCTTCAAGAGAGAACCGACGATGAAAGAGAAAAGAGTGAGAGAGGGGGAAAACTCCAGCGCTGGCATGATCGTTTGTCTTCACCAAGTTTTCAACTTCGACTTGCTTGCAGGGTGCCCTTTTTTTCGTCTTCTTCGGGGGAGCCTTATCTTGTGTTCTCTTGCTAATTGTGCGTGAAAAAAAAATTTTAAAGAAACCCCGCCAAAGACTTTACCTCGTTAGTGAGCGTAAAAATTGGATAATAGTATGATTGCTGCAATAAAAAGTTGTTCGACATTCTTTGGAAACGTACAAACTCACATACTAATGTATTTTTTTTTTTTTTTTTTTTTTTTTTTTTTGTAGAGTACCAGAAAATTGTTGAAAAGTAAAAAAATTACTTTTGTCTATCAAATGGTACACTAGAAGCAGTCCATTGTCTTGGGAGTATGTACTTTTTGCAACATAATTTTCACTATACTGGGCAATAATTCCTACTAAATTATCACACAAATAAAAAGAAAAAAATCTGAGTTTAATACTTTTACATTTCGTTTTACTTTTTTAGATAGTTAATGAATTACCTAAAAGTATAACTAGTAATTCATTCATTTGAGCAGCGAGTTGAGACACGTTGAGCTAGTCTTTGTCAGAAGCTTCGAACAAGACAATTTTGCATGACAAGCTGACTTCTATTCGTAAGAAGCATCAGTATCATTCTGTCTCTTTGTACAAAAACAGTTTTAATAAAATTTTTTTCTAGAAATCGAAAGGTAAATTTTAGTATAAAATTACTATTACATACTTTTCCAAATCGGATTCTCACGAAAAAGCAAAGCTAAAATTAGATAATTCTACGAGGAGTGTCAATACTCTTAATATTGCAAAATTCAGTTGTTGAATCCATATTTTTTATTGAAACAAGAGGCTTGCATTAAATTTTAAACTTTGTATTACATATGTTTCACAAAATATTTAAATTATCATTTTGCCGATTTTCGAGTTTCAACGTGTTGATACATGTATTTCATAGATTTCCAAGAATTTCAATTAAAATGTAAAAGCATTGTGTCCACGCACCAATGCCAAGTCGAGGCCTCTACACTCATTACTGAGCAATAAAGTAGCTATAAGAGTGTGTTGAGGTGCCAACAGAAAAAGAATTCATGCTGGCTTTTGATACATCGACAGTCACAGTAATAGCACGTAGTGTGTATTAATACGTATATAAAGTTACCGAGATATCCGACAAGGTTGTGAGTTGAAACTGTTGCAGTGTAAATGCAGTATATAGTTCTTAGTGTCTAAGGTGTGTCTTGTATTTTTGTAGACAGTTACAGCTTCACGAGGATAACCACATTACAGAAGTAAACTTGAAAATTTTTATCTCACTGCTAAAAAAGAGGACCAAAGTTGATAAGTAACTATTTGCCTATTAAAAATTGTAATTTTATTATATTTTTAAAAATTTGAGCTCATACTATTAAAACAAATTGTTCAGTGCTGGAAGCATTCATATTTAATGATTTTGTAGTAATAATGAGTAATCTAATTTAAGTATCATGAATAGTAATTTGAAAATTTTTTTAGAATAATCACTGATACGTAGAAAAATGCAAGCCAACGTGTCACAACCAACAACTTTAAAAAAGGTTAGTTCAATACAATTCCATTTCTAAAATATAAGTGATATTATTTATAATATTAATTAATGACAAAATTCCTACATAAAGATATGAATTTTGAAAACTATGTTAAAGTAATTACTATTTAATAATTATTCAATGTAGATCAATTTATACTAAGAAAAAAAACTCCGTAAGTAACGAATTCCACGCTAATATAACTTGCTAAATATTGTATTTCTCTCGAAAAAAGTTGTCAAAAAAAATCTTTAAAATCTTTTCAATTTTTCTATCGTATATGAAAAAAAATCAAATAGGTAGCTAATCACTTAAGGCATGATTGAATTTTTATTTCTAGCCCTTACAGAGAAAAGGAGAAGGAAACTTTCTTTGTTGTAACAAAATATTTTGAAATGAACTGGACTTCCAAATACAGCAAAAGCTACATTACGACAATTAAAGTTTTTCCTCAAGTTTTGGTTGATACTCACTTGGAACATTGAATAATAACACCTGCGATGGAGGTTACTCAGCATAACAATGGACAAATCTGGACGTGCGAAAATTGTAATGATATATTTGCTATTAAAGCACAATTTGATAAGCACATGCTTGTATACAAGTGCGGGCAACGCCATAAATGCAATTATTGCAATAAGTTTTTCAATCAAAAAAGTAATTTAACAAAGCACGCTCGTACTCACACAGGCGAAAAACCCTACCAATGTGATGTCTGCGACAAACATTTTACTCAGTCATACACTCTACACATGCACACTCATACCCATACACGTGAAAAGCCACATAAATGTGTGACCTGTAAAACATCTTTTTCCAATTCAAACAGCTTAAACATTCATAGCTGTGTTCATTCCGGTGAACGGACCTTCCAGTGCCATGATTGTAATAAATCTTTTGCTCGGAAAAGCGATCTTAGACGACACACTCGCACCCACATGAGTGAAAAACCATACAAGTGTGATATCTGTGACACATCTTTTACCCAAAGTTTCAATCTAAAAACGCATACTCGCATCCATACTAGCAAAAAGCCGTACGAATGTAAAATCTGCAAAAAATCTTTTTCTGATTCAAACTCCTTGACGATTCATAGTAATGTTCATACGAGCGAACGAAATTTCAATTGTTATCATTGTAATAAGTCTTTTGCTCGAAAATGCGATTTTAAAAGACACGCTCGTACTCATATGAACGAAAAGTCATATAGATGTGAAATCTGCAAAAAATCTTTTGCACACTCGTTTAATCTAAAAACGCACTCTCGCATCCATTTAGGCGAAAAGCCATATACATGTAAAATCTGCGGCAAATCTTTCACTCAAAATTTTAGTCTCAAAAGGCACTCTGGTCTCCATGTCAGCGAAAAGCTGTAACAATAACAGATTTATTAAATTTTTTTTCCTGTATGTTTCCCTTAACACGGCACCATCGTGTTAGAAGAGCTTATCACTATATGATATTGAATAAATTTATAACTGAAAGGTGGCATACTAAAAAAAATTTGGTCTTATATCGACCAAAGACTCCTTAAACGTAAACAAATAATGTAAAAACTTTTGACAATATTATAGCCAACTTTTCAACGATGGAGTCCACATTTTGTTAACAGCTCATGAAATTGCAATAAACGTCAGTGAAAGTTTATATTATTATGCCATGAGAAGTCTAGCGTTAGTTGAGAAATAACAACTACGACTATTCATGTATACCAACGCTTGTACGAAATGATGCTACCATTGATTCATGGAAGCAAAACAAAGTTTTTTAACTGGTGCACTTAATTTTGATTTTCTTAAAAATAAAACTAATAACTTTATTTTAGAGTTAAACAATAGTAGAGTTGTATAGTAAGTACTAACTAGAATTTTTTTTTTTTTATAAATTCGTGAGTTGTAATTTTTTTTTTTTTTTTTTTTTTAACACATGAATGTTATTATGTATAGAAATATTTCTGATGAAATAAAGAAATTAAAAAAAAATTGTTGTAACACTGTTCTTGTCTAACGCAGCAAACATCCTATTATGAAACTTTACTTACTATTTTTAACAGCGTTTGTACTTATTTTTTTAAACATGAAGTCTTCGACTTCAATATATATTATGTTTTGTCTCTGATACTTATAGTAGTTCCAGTGCTTTTGATGGTAATAAAAAAAAAAAATTCAAACAGTTTAAATAATATTTCTTGAAACCTTAACTTTTTAATGCTAACAGAGAATTATAAAATTCTGTTGAATTTTTCAACTAATTTTTAATATTAAATTTTATTTTTCACACCAGTCTTAAAAAGTTGTCGAAATTATGCGTAAGGATTATTTTTTTAAACTTAATTTTGAATCTATTTCTTTTGTAGAGTTTTTATATGTAACGGCGATGTGTAAGTACGTATATAGTTTTAGTCCCTCACCTTACTAACTGCTCAAAAAATCTATCAACAAAATATGAAATGACGTTTATCAAGTATTAATTAAATTATACTTATCGTGTGAATTAAAATGGTTGCAACTTTCATAATAATTTGTTTGTGCCTTTGATTACATTTTTTAAAATAAATAAGTAATAATTTAGATTTAATAGATAAATCATAACGCTCGTACATTACTTTCTATTAAAATGATTTTAACTTTTTCTAGAGATTTTTTTACGAGATAATTGAACTACGTGTATTATAATAATTATTACAGAAGTAAACTTGAAAATTTTTATCTCCTTGCTAAAAAAGAGGACCAAAGTTGATAAGTAACTATTTGCCTATTAAAAATTGTAATTTTATTATATTTTTAAAAATTTGAGCTCATACTATTAAAACAAATTNAATAATTTTTTTTTTTTATATTAACAATAGTGATGTTTCAAATGAAACAAAAAAAAATGAAAAAATGCATTACTTTCAAAACCTCGTTTAATGTGAGCTCTGAATCAATCAATTTAAAAAAAAACTTGGCCATTTTTATGGTAAGAAAAAGTTTAAGATGTAACTTGTTGAAAAACTTGGTATTAACAAGAAAATATACTTTGTATTCCTTTAGATTTCAAAGTTTCCAGACATTAATTTATATAGAAATTACATTTTTATAATATTCACTGCTTCATATTCTAACTCTAATATAAAACTAATTCAAGAATAAGCTGAAAAATTTTATCTACCATCCACCTAAAAGTGGAAGAGAAAGAAAAAGGGAACTTTCACTTCTTTTAAGAAAATTTGACTTTATGGCCGTTGGGAGTTGATGTTTCATGATTTCCAACTTGAAACGAGACGCTCCAAGCCTCGTGTTCTTCGAGTTCAGTGATTCATCGAGCTCAGGCGCTCGTTACTGCCTACAGTTACACATCACAATTGTAAATAAGACGTTCCAGCTTATTCCTGAATTATTGTTCTACCAACATGGAATCAGTAGACATCTTAGCTCAAACAAGGCAAGACTAAAGTTAGTGCCGCAGTTCTTAGTGCGCCTAGTAAGGCTGTAGACTACAACCTGTTCACAAGAAAACGTCCAAATTTTTCATTTAAAAATTCAAGAATAAAACTGAAGCCAAAAATCACTTACTTAATCTTGAAAATTGTGGGTTTAAGTGATTTTAGTTTTTATTATCAAAATTTATTTGTAAGTGCTGAAAGTTTCATGGTTGAAGCGATGTCTTAGACTGAGTGAATTATTTTGAAGTATCACAATAACGGATTTTAAAAATTTTTATAAAACCATGACTAGATGTTACTGGGAGAAATAGTAGCCGATTTCATAACTAACAACAAAACAAAAAGGTAAGTTTTATTTGAATGTTTCTGTAGCGTCAAGTTAGATGAGCATGATATATTTTAACTGAATTTATTTTTTGAAAACTTTGATCTATTTCCGATGAAATTCAATAATAACAGTTTTCATGCATTGAATTATTGAACTTTCAAATTTTATAAATATAGTATCTATACAACAGTTAGTTAAAAAATTACTAATTTGTAAAAATGTTTTGCTAATCATTCATTCTGCACTCACTTCACTTCTCTTTTACTGTATTTCCTCAACAAAATGATTTAATTAATACTTTTTAAAGCTTGCACGTATACCTACTGTTAGTGTAAGCATTTATTTCCTTCTACTTAACAGCTAATTACTTAACATTGAACTGAATTTTAATTTTCAGATTTTGCAGTCAAAAGTGGATAATACTAACTTTTTCCGTGTCATCAAAATATTTATATAAAATCGTACTCACCGAAAAGGCATTGGCTGTGTTTCTATCATCAGCGTTTACTTATATTTTTGGTCAGCATTCACTGGAGATATTACATAATGACACGTGCAACAAAAGTTAATAAAGACGAACGACGCTGCATATGCAAATATTTTGGTAAAACATGTTCATGTAAGAACCGACTTGATGCACAAACATCGCGCAATACACGTATAGATGAGAGTAAAAAAAGATATGAATGCAAACAATGTGGCAAGTCTTTTTGTAGTAAATATGATTTGAAAAGGCATACTCGTATCCACACCGGTGAAAAGCCGTATAAATGTACTATTTGCGACAAATCTTTTGTTCTATCATTTCATCTACAAAGGCATAATCTCATACACACAAGAGACCAACTTTTTAAATGTCACTTTTGCGGCAGGTCTTTTACTCGCAGATTAAGTATTATATGCCATATTCGCATGCATACAGGTGGAAAGCCACTTAAATGCAAATTTTGCGATGAATCTTTCTCTCAAGCAATTCATCTGAAAGCGCACACTCGTGCCCATATAGCCAAAAAGCCCTGCAAAGATAATTTTCAGACGCACACTCCTTCGTCCACAAATGAGCAAAACTTCAATTGTCACGATTGTGATAAGTCTTTTATTCACAAATCTAATCTTGTAGATCACATTCGCACCCATACGGGTGAAAAGCCATACAAATGTAATTTTTGCGAAAAATCCTTTACTCAGTCCTCATCTCTAAGATCGCACACTCGTGTCCATACAGGCGAAAAGCCATACAAATGTAAAATCTGCGGCAAACGTTTCGCCAACTCCTCTGGTATACACTCGCATACTCGTAGCCATACTGGCGAAAGGCCATTTACATGTGATTTTTGTGACAAATCTTTTACTCAGCTAACTATTCTAAAATCGCACTCTCGCATCCATTTTGGTGAAAAACCATATACATGTAAAGTCTGCAACAAAACTTTTACATATTCGTCTGGTCTACAAAAGCATGAACGTACCCATGACCCTCTTAACCTTATAAAAGAACGACGTTTGAGATGCCATGATTGTGGTAAGACTTTTATTTTTAAAAATAATCTGATAATGCACATACGGGCTCATATGAAGGTGAGAGACCACTAGGGATCACTCAAGCTTCTCAACTGAAAGTAACCTTCTATTTACACAAGACAATGACGTTTCAATTGCAGTAAGTTTTTTCGCTCTAAAAATCTAACTTACAAGGCATACTTATGGATATGTACAGGTAAAATGTTATTTAACTGTAAATTTTACGTCAAGTCTTACTAAAAATTAATTCTAAAAAGACTTTTGAGCACTTGTTCTACTAAAGTTAATATTATGTTGATATTTGAGGTCTTTATAATGTTTAAAAAATTGATCCTATAGGGTATAACTACTCGTTGCAAATCTTGTTTTAAAATGTAATGCAGAAGTAAAAAATTTAACTCATTCATTCATTTCATGGATATGAATAAATTCTTTCATTTAACACACTACTTTTAAGTTAGAAAGTGACATTTGAACATAAAATGATAGAGCATATTATTATGATGTGACCGATACATTAAACCACTGATACAAAAAATCATGTAAAAATATCTATGACCAAATAAATATTTACTACAAAATTTTTTGTTAGCTTAACTCATTTCTGACACACCCAGCACATATTATTAGAAATTTGAATAAGAATGTCTTTAAAATTTTATTCAGATAGAATTTGTGTAAGTGTACAAGATTTTACATTAAAAAAGCCTAAATTAATTAAAACTGTTGGATAATATTTAAATATCAATACTACTTTATATCTCTCCTGTATCTGTTATGTTAGAAATTTCTAGTTAAACCATATCTATTCTGAACATAAAAGAAAAAATCACGTACTATGTATAGTACGCGGCACAGATACATCAGTCATTCCATATTTTTTTATTTTATCAATGTTGACAGTATTTTTAATACATGGTAGATTATAATAATATATTGATGTAAGATAGAGTTGATGTAAGATAAAAAAATAGTAAAGCATTTTTTCTGTGTTTATTACGTTTTCTTTGAAATAATTAAATCATTTATCTGTTTTCAAATATTATTTTTACCCATTAGGACACGGCTAACGTACAAATAATATTGTTGATACCTACAAATTGATAAAACGTTCGAAAATACAAGTTGTAATATAAACAGTAGTACTTATCTCATAACACGTGAAATTGTTTTTGAGAATTTCTCCTTCAGGTTTCTACTTATACTTAACACTATCTGATTCTAGAATGTAAAAAAAAAGTTTTTCGAGTACCTTAAATACTCCTTTCTTATATAATTAACTTGATGTTAAATCTTAACGATAGAATTTATTAGTTTTTTTTTTTTTTTTTTTTTTTTTTTTTTTTTTTTTTTTTTTTTTTTTTTTTTTTT